ACACACACACACACACACACACACACTGATTCCTCCCCCTCAGGGTCGCTCTTCTCTCTCTCTCTCTCTCTCTCTCTCTCTCTCTCTCTCTCTCTCTCTGCAATACATTTTTTACAAGAACACTCGCCATTACATCCGGCAGAGAAATGCAGGATGTTGCTTTCCTCTTCCTGTCATCTATAAATGGCTCATCAATGTTTACGTGTTCTCCGGTCCCCTCGACATGTGGCGCTGTTTGGACGACGAAACAACTCATTCAAACAGCTAATTAAGCTACCGTAGGACACAACAATGCAGTTACATTTTTACCACTCTCTGTTCACATATTTTTTTTGCCCAGGTTGGTATTTGTCTCAGATAATTATGAATCCATAAGAAATAGGACATTTATACATTGAGACAGACAGGATTTCTATTCCCAGAAGGAGGTCAAAGACGGCCAACTGTTGGACACTTGCTTTAGAAGATCATGAACTGGTTCAACATTATACTTTACTGTCTTCCCCAAAATGACTGACCGTCATTACAAATATTAACCCAGAATTGTTATTTAAGAGATACAGATCAATCAAGAAAAAGCTATATTTTCCTGACATTATTATGTATTTTGGGTTATTGTCCACGTTTTTTGGAAAAATGAGGATGGATCTGAGATTTTTGTCTTTCATTATCCAACTTGTTGTATGATCTCCCTCCTGTACTTGCACTTCTTTTCTTGTTCATGACTAGAACATGTTCATCTGTTTTGTAAGTTCAATTATTATTAGTCAGATCAACTAATAACTATAGCTGTCAGAAAAATAGTGTAAAAGCATAAAAAGGTTTCACACTCATATGTAGTGGAGTTGAAGTTTCAAGCCAACATTTTTTTCATAAATTGGAAAATGAATATTGAGATATTTAGTTATTCTCGTTGGCACATTGACTTGTCAATTAATGTCTTAGATGTTTGTGATATGATGTCTTTTTTAAGTGATTGATGCAGCCTTTGACTTTACGGCTGTACTGTGTACTTTCATACTGTGGGGATTCAACACTTTCTTTTATGATGCAACTAATACAATTGTGTGGTTGACTCTAGATTTTGTAGAAAACCCCAGAATCAATTGTCTCATTATCTATAAAGGCATATATCACAAAAAAACAAATTATATTTATCAAACAATAAGATTTAACCCAAATAAAAGTTATACTTCAAATAGAGCCGATTGTGTTGTATTCCAACATTGCTTTTGGCTCCTTTTCAGCCCACTTTGCCAGCAGTCCTGCAGAGCACTGTCTGCTTTTGTTCTTGGTTGTTTTCTACCTCAAGGATAAAAGCACTGACCACATCCCTCTTTCCTATTAGCTCTTGCTCTTCACTTTGAAGATTTAATCAGTCAGATTTCCTTGATTAATCCTTTTTCATGTCCTTTCACGGTAAATAATAACAGAGCTTTATATGATCACTAGCTGGATAGAGAGGACAGCGTGCAGATTTCTGATTGAACCGAGTCCCCAGGTACCTTCATTAGCCTGATTATTCTGATCCAAACACACTCCATCAACCAGTTTACATGTAAATAGGTTAATTTTATTCCCACTCCTCACTCACTCTGCCAGCACGCTGTGTTTAGCAGATGAAATTTCACCTCATGTTTTCTGGTTTTATTTTATTTCTACCTTATGCAAATTAAATGTCAAATGTTTAATTTGAACACTATAAAGGCTGTTAGGTTTTTCCAGCAGATTGTGTTTAACTGATAACTGAATTTCAATCACTCATCAAGTTCAGAAAAGGCAAGTAGTGAAGGATGGTGTTAGACGAAGGCCTCAGTCAGACTTCACAGTTACAGCCGGTTGTGTAACAGTGACACCTCATGGCCAAATGCTCATCTCTCATCCAGCTGATGATTGTATTTCAAAAAAAGCTTTCACCACTTGATGGCAGTGTAATTCTACTCTCCTCATTTATAGAGTAGTTACTAACAAATGCATCTGCGATAGTCAAAGCTCTCCTCTTGGCCATAAACAGGAGAGGATGCTACTTTTTCCTGAATTTCTTTTGAATTAAGATACTTGTATTAGTCCCTGAGTGAGTCTTTAGCTCCATCGGATGCTTTGTTGTGGACTAAGTGCACAATAGCTGCATATACTGTTGTGCTGCAGAGGAGATGATGAGCTGCTGCCAGACTGCCCCTCTCCCTTCAGGATTAGTGAGTTAATGCAACCATTCAGACACTGAGCTCCGATCAGCTGCTTAATACTGTTTTATCCCAAATAAGGCAGCCATGCACGCACAATGTTTTTCTGTGTTTCACAGACGCATTATGCACATGCGTAAACATACATATCCAACACTTACACTGGAAATACATTATGTTGTGTAGTTGACTTGCAGATAATAATCAGGTTGTAAGAAGCTGCAATATGAAAGAAAACTATTTAATGCTTTATTTTATGGGTTCATAATTTCTCAATTTTCTTGAACATTTCCCAGAGCTAAGTAACGGTTATAGGAAACATATACATTTCCTTGAAATAAGTTCTCATTTAAACCCAAGTAACTGTGAATGTATTATTGGAAACATTATTCTCATACATCTTGAATTGTATGTATAGCTGTAGATAAATGTAACATCTGTATATGTTCAGATGACCTGTGCACTGACTAAAAGACTTAGTTACACTTGCAATGAACATTATCTTTATTTTTCCTACTTTATGATTAGCACCAAAATGTCAGGAAACTAATTAGAATTTGTTTAGTAAATTATTTGAAAATTGTGGACTTGTAAAATAAGATATTACCAAAAGGTTCCTTGAAGAAGGAATGTGCCTCGCTGAGATTAAAAATGGCTTTTACAGAAGTGAGATAGTAGTAGCACATGAAACATCTCTGCTGCCATCATGGGCTCATTTAGATCATCTTGAGTCACAGTCAGAGGGGTCAAGGGTCAAAAAGGGTGAATTCAGACCTTTGTTTGTCTTGGGGGAAAAAGTGGCCTTTTGAAATGGCAAATCTTTTTTCCCCTTAAAACATCGGTCTATCAACGGTCTATCATCTATCATGTGGATTAATAAGGAATATCTCACATATCCAGGGTCAGACGTCCTGTCTGAGGATAGTCTGTGCCTTCAAAGAGCAGAGAGATGCCCTGTTTTTGTTATTCATCCTGCCCCTACAAAGTTAGTCCCTGGTTCCCCTGGTTTGTGGTGCAAATGCACTACAAACACACACAGGCTTATACTAATCCTTGTGAAAACAAAGTGATATATTTCTCTCAGCGCAGGTCAAGCGTGGGATGTTCGTCGGCATGTTTATCAGGATTATGAACATTTCATCCATAATATAATCTCTAACATCATACTTACCAAACACTCACCGTTCTAAATGGAAAGCTGGGGTGAACAGTTTGTCCAGAAATAAACCGGAAGATGAGTTGACCAGCAGAAAGATGATTCAACTGGCGACCATGACTCTTTTAGCCCATTCCCACCATTGAGCCATGACCCAGTGGGACCTTGTGACCCCCTCTAACTGACCTCTCAGTGGGTGGTCCTCAAACTGACCAGCCTGGACCATGAATCAACACAAGTGGCTGCTCTTAGATCAGATCTTTGGTATTTTTTTCATTGTTGCCTCCACTTTGACAGTTACCTATATTTTTCAACTCGGTCAGTTGCTCTATCATTTTCTCTTTTCAACCTTTTATCACTTCATGTTTTTCTATTACTTTTCAATTATCAGATTCAAGTCGGGTATCTCCAACCAAACAAATCTTTATCTAGATACAGTATTACACATTTCTATGTTCCTGAATGTATGTGTACAGTATATATGAAAGGTCAACGGTGTAAATGTACAGACATGTGTTTATTACATATGTGAGTGTTAAGTTGTGGTCTGAGTGGATGTCAGGACAGGATTATGCTGTCCCTGTGTCAGTGAAGAAGAACTCCTGCATGGCCGGGCGGCCATGTTAATCATAAATCTTTATCTTACAATCCTGCCTCGCACATCCACCCTTTCATTAAAAGACGGCCAAAGGATTAGTGAAGCTAAACCACAGAGATCTGTGGAGGAAAATGAGAAACAAAGTCGCTCGCTCTGGTGATGCTGAATTGATTTTGTTGTATGAGACTGTGTCTGTCTGTCTGTCTGTCTGTCTATCTGTCTATCTATCTATCTGTCTGTCTGTCTATCTGTCTATCTATCTGTCTGTCTATCTGTCTGTCTGTCTGTCTGTCTGTCTGTCTGTCGGAAAGTAAACACAACATCCATGGACTGATTGACTTTGAAAATATTTTAATAACATCACATTTTCCAAAAGACATCACAAATGAAAAAGACAAAGATAAAATACATTGAATCCAATGAAAATTTGTTGAAAATGATACATTATTTTTCATAATATTAACCTGAGAATGACATTTTTGCTTCTTCACCTTGATCTTTGTTTAATCAAAACATCCTCCCGTAGACCAGCTTCCAAAGATCAGCCACATAGCGTCAGGAAATCTACCTCTGAATATGTTGTGCATGAGTGCAAAACATGAAATACTGTAATAAACAAAGAAAAGGACACACAAAAGTAATATAAGAGATAAACTATCAGTGTAAGTAGCAAACAAAGAGAGGCCTTGGCCATAAATATGTACAAAAGGAAAACCAGACACACACCTGCACATCAGAACAAAGTCCATATACACTGTATTAAATTAGAGAATAAATAAAAAATGTATGTTAATTTATGTGGAATATCTGATGTTACCAGAGCTAAATTAGAAGTGCTTGTATCACAGTAACAGGACATCTGGTCCAAATGGCTAAAGCAACATTAGGACCCTTAAAATATTTGGTAATCAATGTCTTAAGAAATTGTGTTGGTTTTAGTCAAGTATTTTTTAATTTTTTTAACATTGTTATGCAGTGCTAGTCTACGTGCACACATGTAAACAAACCATTTTTACTCTACAGTTCCTCTACGAGCAGACTGTCTACTGGGAGAGACCGACCCTTCAGTCAGTGTTCATGAAGGATCAAAGAGTGAAGACGAGCAGTCAGGTTGAATTGATGGGTGAAACAGAGTCGACTCTCCTGACCCGTCTTAGTCTCTGTAGACGGAGGTTATCTGTCGGGGGGGCATGTGCTGTGGATGGTAGGAGTCATAGGGCCCCTCTAAGTGTCCGTTATAGCCAGTCTGAGTCTGATATAGGCCCTGGTCCACAGGGGAGGGGGAGTAGTGGTGAGAGGGTGGGTAGTGAGGTGAAGGCTCCTGTTTGGGCATCAGGTTACTGCTGATGCTCAGAGGTGGTGTAGGGGGGCCATCGTACGGAGGGGTCCCTACTCCTCCGGCATTATACTCATTTGGCGAGTGATTCTCGTACACTCCTCCTTTCATGGCCCTCAGGTGAAGCAGGTGAGCAGAGTCAAAAGTGCCATACGGCGGACTTGGCAGTCCTGGAGAGGAGTAGCTCACCACGCCACCGAGAGGAGCAGGGGCTGGCCGGACTCTGTGTCTGTCCTCAGGCCTCATCCCAGCACCAGAGGCTGGTCCCAGCTGAAAGCAGCCAGCTACCAGGTTGCTGGTGGGCTGTGAGAGGCCCTTACACAGTGTCTCCATGAAGGTCCTGCTCTCTGTGGAGAGGCCCCCCTCCAGGGCCTCAGACAGAGCGCAGATGTAGTTGCGGGCCAGCCGTAACGTCTCGATCTTAGACAGTTTCTGTGTTTTGGAGTGACACGGCATGATGGTGCGCAGGCTCTCCAGCGCATCATTTAGACCGTGCATACGCGAACGCTCCCTTGCATTAGCCTTTACACGTCTCGCACGGAATCGCTCCTGCCGGGCCTTTGTCATCCGCTTTTTCTTGGGCCCGCGTCGTTTGGACTCGTTTTCATCCTCCTGTCCCTCCTCATCGTCCTCCTCGTCCTCCTGTGCATCCTCACTCCCCATCTCCCTGTCCTGTTGGTTCACTCCATCATCTCTGCAGCCGTGTGATGAGACTGATGCGTCTCCATCAGGTGAGCTCATGTCTCCATCCATCCACTGCAGAGGGCTGACGGCCTCCTCCCCCTCGCCTTGTCTCACATATGGTTTAATCATCATGGTACTCTAGAAACAAGACAACATCTTTGTCAAACACATGTGCAAACAAAACATTTTTTTCAATCAACACTTACAACCACAGCAGAAGAATGGCAGGTATTTGCACTTTACTTATGTATTTATATTGTATTCTACTCTATTACTTAAAAGAGGAAAATATGTTCTTTTCTCACCTACAAGCTACTTTGTATCTTTAGATTTTTGATACATAATGACAACTTTATAAAAGATGTGTTGTCATACAATACATTAAATCACCAACTCACCTAACTACAACCAAACAATGATGCATCTATACTTTTATTTAAAGGATGTCATACTTTGTCCACTTCTGAAGAATAGACCACTAGACTAAAACAACTGTAAATTCTTGATGCTGTCTATGACTGCTGTAGCCAGTAATGCTACTAGAATTATGTGGAAAACTACCATAATGTCAGGTTAACACCAGGCTGAATGATTGGTATGATTCAGAATGCTGTTCATAAATCAGTTGACTGAATAGTTTCTCTTCCCTGGCTTGTTTGTGATAAAGAATTATGACAAGGCAAAAGATCAGGACTAGAGATACAGCTGTGAGAACACTGAGGTCAAGTCCTTATTATTTTTTTTCTGGGAATTCGATTTTTTTTGTGTGCAACAAACAGGATACTTACATACAATTAAAACATACACATGATGGGTATTTTGTAGAGATTTCAGTATTTTAAGACTAGAGCTTAAATGTGATTACTTTGAGGAAATACAAAATAAAGGATTTTATATTTCTACACCTCACATTGTCCTTCGAGTAAGCAATTTAAATTTACAGAAAATATAGTTAACAGTTGGAGGAATAGAAATTTATAAAATTCTAAATAAAAGGAACTTTTAAAATTCTTCTTTTTGGTGTTGATCATATTTGTATGCATCAGCTTCAGGGGACTTTAGTATTTCTAAAGTCCGGCTATACCACTCTGGAAAGGATTTAACCTGAGCCAGTGAGGGTAATATGTCATCCACCAATGATAACTATAGCAGTAATAATAATAAGTATTTTGTAAACCGTGACTCTCTCTCAGCAGTCCTCAAACTGTTTCAGCACCGGACAGTTCCCTCTTGACACAGGTTTTGGTGCTGAGTGATCGTCCAACACAAGAATGCGCATGGAGACAAATTAAGCTATATGTGCTGCTACCTTTGAATGATGCCTCTTTGCATTTTCATACATACATTATGTGTTTTTGTTCAGTTGCTCCCCCCTCTCTCTGGTTAATCCTGGTCAATTTGTGAACTGATAATGCCCCCAGCGAGATAAAGTCACTTACAGGACTTCAATCTGGGCCATCGCAGGATTTTCTCCGTGGATGAAGCGACAACCATGGGATTAAATGAAACATCGACGGTCCCAGATCAGTGACAGACGACTCAGATTGAATCGAAATCATACATTTCCAAACCCAGAAATATTAATGCCTCGCCGCAAAATTGCGTGCTTGAACTGCTATTTGCTAAATGTCGACTAAAGCATATAAGAATAAGGCTTTTCTAAGTATGTTTTCTTCGGATTCAGCCATTGCCTGTTGACTTGTGGTGTTTTAGTTGAAAATCCTGTGACATACTGAAAATATATAGCTGATACACACAAAAACGAGAACTCCTCCAGGCGCCATAAATTACTTAAACAATTTTTGAAAACCTCTTTGAAACATACCCGTGTTGATGTGTCCCGGGACCTCCTCAGGAAGTTGGCAGATTATAATTTTATTTCACAGTTTGTTCTCTCTGTCTACTGTCAAACAGCGGTGAAGTGTCTGTGTGTGGTGTCTCCCGGTGCAGAGCTGTCCCACAGAGTCTCAGTGTGGGTCACTCTGCGGGGGCTCTGGGTTTTAACCTCCGCGTTAAAGCTCCTCCTCTCTCCGCTGTCCAATTTCTGTTGACGCGCTTGAGCTCGCGCGTGGCCGGCCCGTGGCTCAAGCCCCAGAAGCTCCACTCGTCGCGGGGGGGGGGGGGGGGGGGGGGGGGGCAGGGAGATGTGCATAAGCTCACTGAAACTCTCCAGACAAACAGGAGAGGCCCGGGCCTTTGTTGCTTTGCGAGGGCGGCCGCCAAATCCGCCGCACGTTTGCATTGAACGGAGGAGAGACGCGCTCAGTCGGCTGAGCCTAACTGTATGTGACAGCTTGAAGTTGCGTGTGAGCAGGTGTTTGCTCCATCCCCTCTTCCAGCCATCCATCCCTCTGCACTGCGGAGACAGGCTGTTGAACAAGTTCATCTCACAAGAGGCAGCTCTGACCAGACGGGGTAAGTTTGGTCACATGAGGTGTGCAGCTACAGCATCGTGTCCCTGCTTATTAATAGCCTCTTCTCACTGCAGTGCAGGTCCATGCCTTAAATCACCATAACCAATAGTGAATGTTCTAGTAGGACTTCTGCACTCACATGCTGAGTTATGAAATACACTCCATCCTTGAGGTTCTGCCTTCAAAATGTTCCTTAAATAAAAGCACCATCAGCAAAATGTTCAATAATATCAAAAGTAAAAGTAATTTATATGCTAATTCCCACTTTAATACTATTATGTTATTATGGATTATTATTGTTGATATTATTGCACAGAATTTAAAAACATTTGTATACTGATCTTAAGGTCTCAAATCTGAATCTGCACAATAACCGTGAATAAAGGTGCTAACTGGAACTGGTGATGCCATCGTTTTTGGTCAAAAGACCTTTTATAATACTGTTTTATTTACACTACAGCTGCCAAATATAGTGGAGTAAAAAGTACATGTATATATCTGAAGTAAAATGGAGTGGAAGAATAAAGTTGCACAAAATGTAAATACTCAATTTATTAGAGTACTCGAAGAAAAGTAAACCAGAGATTAGGAGCAGGTCTGAGGTGAGATCATTTCTTTCTAAATCCACACCCCCGAATTTTTTAAATGTTTCAATCATGAAGCCGCAACTGACACTGACTCAAGTGACATCACTTAAGTCCATTTATCAGACATGACACAGCTCCCTTTGCAGCCACAAAGGGCTTTATACAACTTTTTTCACATATACAGTAATATTCCCTAAGACCTGTAAATACACTTTGATATGTAAAAATTTAGAAGTTTTCGCTTTTTGAAGTGTACTTGGGTAAATGTACTTTGTTATATTCCACCACAAAAGGCAAATAGCTGTATCATCCTAACAGCACAGTTATCTTTGCTGGATGTAATGATGTATGTATACGTTTTTGATTATCTTTTAGTTTCCAATAAGGTAAAATCTTCTTTATGCTTTATAAATGCCCAAAAGTACCAAAAGTTGCTTTGTCAAAGGCTTTAAAGGCTTATCGGATAATTTGATCATCAAATCAAACTTTAAACTTCCACTTGTTGATCAAATTGCCAACTGAAACGCATCTCACTCACACAAACACATCAATAATATCTGAGGCTTTGTACTGACCAAGACAGAAAAAGTTTGTGGAGTGTTGCCTCAACATTCAGGAGGGGCCTAAACAACCAGTCAAGGATGAAATAATATGCGAAAGATTCTCACGTGTTAGAGCAGTTTAACAACGGTGGATGTGAGGATTGTCTAACGCTATGACATTGCTCTCATTTGAGAAACATACACTTACAAAGAAACTCAAAAGGGGCGTGCTTTGTATGGAACTAAAGATAACTGTGCCTAATTTATACTTCTTAGAATAATCCCATGTCCTTCTTAGTTTACTTGTTAAGCCACAACCAAAAGGCTTGTGTCAGTGGACAATTCAACTATGATCTATAACATTTGCCTAAAATAATAAACTTAATTTAGGTAGGTAGATTTGGCATATACACACACTAATTCAAGTGTAAGGATACATTAAATAGTGAATTATGATTTTGGTCATAATCTGTCCCTGAACCACACAAAAGTTCTGTGACAAAGACGTGAGCAACAACAGGGTATCTTGTTGACCTCATCATCGCTGACCAGGGAACAGGGAGGCAGATAGTTTGCATGATTTAGAAACAGAGCACCTTATGCTCAAACAGAGATGCTTGAGTTAGGTTACGAGGTAATATGCACGCCCAGTGTGCTTCTCATTCTCCGTTCATTCCCAGGTCGACCACCTTCCCCACTGCTCCTCCCTGCGGGTCTCTGCCTTTCCTATTCCACACCTGCAGCCTGAAATGGGAATAGCCTAGCCGGGCCTCTGGCATCCCAAGAGTGGGACTAGCAGGGGAATATGATAGCTGAGGCCTTGTGTCCCCGTTGCGTACACTCATAACACTGTGATACCAAAATAAATTGGACTTTGTATTTTATTTTGTCTTGCTAAATACAACATCTGTCATGACAAAACTGCTCTTCCACCTACATGATTTTTCTTTTCAGTTTGACCCACTTACTCTATATCACCCAGTCTTCATCTTCCACAAGTGGTGCTCAAGTGTAATACTGTATGTATGCCATAATGTCCCCAGGTCCCTCAGTGCTGACCTCACGTGATGAAGCTCTGTTGCAGATGGCCTTCTCTGAAACACATCTCATATTTTAACAGTCTGTGGCTCAGATGCTCATATGTCCTCCACTGGCTGCTCAGCTCACTCAGTATGTTCACATTGCTCAGAGGACACTGCCTCACCTTAATAAGGTATGTTCGTGAGATGGGAATTGAGTTTATTATATTCATAATATGAAGGACGGATAAAACTTCACTCCAGTACACACACAAACACGACCTTCCCATGAATCCCCAGTGTAACTGTTTGTGACAGTGGGGATAAATGGGCCTTGTCCATCTGTCCTACTGGAAGTCCTCTGAGAGACGTCAACGCCACAGCATAAGGAGTGAGTGTATGTCAGTGTGTGTTTGTGTAGTTCATATTTAGGGAAGTGGGTGGATTGCATATAGTAATTAAAATATTTTTCTTCTTCCAATAATATCAGCAGCCTTGGATATATTTTAATTGCAGCGATACTATGACATGGTGAGTTCAGTGGATCAAGATTGTATCTCTCACTCTGCATGTGTGTATCCACTTCAAATGATAATGCGGTCATCAAATTGTTTGGAAAGCACACAAAAAACTCTAGAGAATGAACGTTGCTCTGTATTTCATGGTCCCCCATCAACTTTAGAAACGGCCGACATTTAAGCCAAAACTTGAACCTCCCTCCAGCCCAGCACTGACCCTGGGGAGACAGGGGTGATGTTGACCATGTGTCCTCCTACTAACCATCTCATTGATGGACCCCACTACTGGGTAAAATAGACACCCCCTCTGCCTGAACCCCTAAACCCTTCCCTAAACCCTCTGTTGGCCCCCTGTTGTGCGTGCTCATTGGTTGACCGCCTTCAGGCGTCCCTTTTCCACGGGTCCATTGTCTGGCCCCATAAGCAGCTTTGTTTCTGCATGTGCAGCTGGGCTAGCCTGCGCAGCCATTAGCCACAACACGCTAAAGGGAGAGCGGGATAATATAATTACAAAACAAAAGTCAGGTGGCTCACGAGATCTGCCAGAAGAAGCCCATTTGGGGAGGGGGGGGGAGATGCGAGGACACGCTGGCGGGTGGCCAGCTATAATTTGATTATGAAGTTGTGTGACTGACAAAAGAAACAATTGAATCTTTTTTTTCTTTTATTTGCCCCACTGTGGTTAATTTGATTCCACCGGGGCTTTGAAAAGAAGGCAGTGTGAAAAGAGAGAAGATTTACTCTTCTAATTTCTAGAATCACCAGCTCAGAAAATGTAATATGCTCTGACGAAATAGCGGGCGGAATTCTTCCCTGGGCTAACTTTATTGTTGCTGCAACACTTTGACTGCATGTGAGGCCCAAATCAGATAAATCGCTGAAGGCTGCATTTTTCCTGCGAGCTGATTGGTCTGGGGCTCTTGTTTTGCATGAATGCACACAGACTGGTGGACAATGGGATCAGTGGCAGATCCATCTCCTGTAATACTTTCTTCAAACAGGGCTGCAAGTGTGTCCCCCTGTTCTGTCGGCAGACCAGAATTCATCCTGTTAGTCACCCTAGATGAGTGAAAGAGTAAAATCAACCCCCATCCCAGCTGGACGGACACACACACACACACACTCTTAACCCCACACTGGGGAGTTATACACACAGCTTTATGGACAGCTGATAAGAACAGGTTTAGCTGGTGGCTACTGTTTGAAGCAGGTCAAGCAGAACAGGATCTGTTAATGTCTTTTTGTTCCTTTAGTTCACACTGCTAAAGACTGCATTTTGTTTTGTTTTTTTGTTTAGCTGTTATATAAGACAATAAGCAATTGTGTCAGATGCACACATGCTCTCACTACTGACGGGTTGGTGTCAGTATTGTGCTAGCTCAGGGTGTGTAAACGCCCATTTCTTGCCCCATTAGGCAGTTTGATCGTGCCCCTGGGAGAACACCACATTGTCTTGGTCTGCAAGACTGTTCACGAGAGGGTACACTGCAGATTAATCGACTGTCTGGTTTACTGTTTTCTTTATGCAAGTGGATATGCATGTGTCAGAGTGAGCCACTTATGAAAAGAAACAATACGTGAAGATATATATTTTTTGTCCATTTTATTCCCACTTTATAGAAACATTTTAAGAGTGAAAATATAAGCTGTTGCGATACATATTTTTACATTTGATACATTTAATTACATTGACGAATACCTCTTACTGAGAAAACTGCTTCTTTTGGGGATATTACTATGAAGTGTTTGCACCACGAGTAATGAAACACAAACGGACTCCTCTGTGAGTTGCTTATGTTTTATTAGATGGCAGCCTCAGTTTCTGGGGGTTGCAGGAAAGGCAGAGCCGATGTACTTCTTTCCATCACCATAGGAAGAATTATCCCAGGTGTAAGTTTGCATAATGAGCTCCTTTCCTCCCAGGCTCAGACGACACCTGAATGGACAAGAAAAAATGTGAATCGGAAAAATCACATGCTGGAAAACATCACAGGACATGTAGGTATACTCACTGTTTTCCCGGGCGAGTGATGTAGCAAAGGCTGTACAAGGCAAAGTCAAATTCAGGGCTGCAGCCAATGACTGCAGAACCGACCTGCTTGAAGTAGCCCTCCCACATGAACTGCATCCCAATGACATCAGGGTAGGAAGTCCACTGAAAGCAGGTGAAAGAAAGAAAGAGGGAAAGTGAAGGGAGGGCCGAACACGTCACAGTTTAAATCAAGATATTGAGGTCTACATTGTGATGCTTACGGGCCCATTGAAGCTGTGGCTGTAGTAGTTCATCTTTCCTCTTTTCTCGAGAAGATAAAACTGGATCCAGTTGTGGAAACCAGACACCTTTCCTCCTTTGATCTCTCCTATGACGGAAGGCGTTTTTTTTTTTTAATAATCACAAAGAAAATCTGCAAAACATCTGTGGTGTTTGAAAGAAATCTGCTCCGTCCAAACCTGCAAAGATGTGTTCAAAGCCGCTGGAGTCCATCTTGTTGTTGTTGCGGGAGTACAGACCAAACCACATCATCTTCAGGTCCTGAATGAACTCTTCCTCTGACGCATAGACGCCTTAAAATACAAAATAACATCCAACAAGGAATCACTGTCTGTTTGTCTGTATGTATGTGGGTATGTCATCTGCATATCTCAACAACCGCTCATTCGATCTGCTTTATGCTTGGCAGTTGTATTGCTGGGAATTATGTGTTGAATTTGGTACAATTTGGACACGAGAGGTGTCAATATTGAAAAACGAAAGCATGTCGTCGGCAGCGAGCCTGCCTTAAATTCACTGCACTTCCTGTTGCTGCTGGTTAGTGGATATACTAATGTTACTGCCAGACTCCTCTTCACTGCCCTGGAGTCAACACGATCAGACAACTGGAAGCAGAGTGTATTGAATGTATTTCAGCCAGGTTTTGCGACTTGGGTGTTTCTTTCCCTCTTGAGTAAGACTGCATTTCCACAGTGTATGACTTGATTGTAAGTTCTAACACTAATAACGTTACCGCTAGCAAAATATCTTTGCTTTGAATGATTTAATCCATGCTTTACTTTTTAGGTGCGGTGGTTATGTCAAAACAAGCGACTAATATGGCCATTTGTAAATTGCCTTGGCTCGGTGCATTTCACCCATGTTTCTGACCACGAGTGACCACGACCTGGGTGTGTTTTTCAGGGACGGATTTAGTGATTTGGGGGACAAATGTAAACAAATTCTTGCTTTGCTTTACTTTTCACCCTTTCTTTAACTGGTAATGTTGGTATTGGCAGTAGTAAAAGAAGTAGGCCTTCTTTTTTCTGAATTAAAACGACAAACTATTATTAGTAAAACAACTACACAGTAAAACTCCAACTTCAACAGAGGAGGGAAATAAAGGCAGTATCAGCACAATTTACTTAATGTCTGTTCAAGGTGGAGCTTTCAATACTAATATAATTTTCATATCTAAACATCATAATAAATCTATAGCTGTTTGTGGTCCTTTTAGTTGGGCCCCCAGGCCCAGGTTGCCTATTGGTAAAGTCTGTCCCTGTTTTATTTTTCTAAACTTGGGTGTATTTCACTGGAGTTTCTGACCGTGAGGGACAAGTGACATAGTTGGGTGTGTGACGCAACTACTGTATGTCACGGCACGTGTATTGCTGAGGACCCAAGGAAGTGCAGTGTCGTGTGTGTGATTGTTTGTATGTTTGTATTTGCCGAGAAAGCTGCAAGCAGCAACACCACAAGCCAAATATACTCGGCCCGTTCTAAAAAGGCATATCAATCACAAATACACAGCCTTAAATCATTAGAAATCATTGAAGAACATGCTTCTTATTAACTGTAGAACTTTCATCACATTTCTAACTTTTCTTCATCAAAGTAATCCATTGATAGTTGTCTGCACATCCATGTGTACACTGCAAACAGAAACTGCTAATAGCTAATTTGGCATACTTTAAATGATGCCAATTTGACAAAAAATTGAATGCTTTGGCAACATTGTATTGTATGTAGTCATGTAAAAATATAGAAAAATGACAGTATTGTCAACAGAGTAGATTGAGGGGCCCACAGTGTCAGACTTTCAATAGACCACAGAGCTGTATGTGCTCAACCAGTGTGTGGATTTGTACTGTTACATGTGGACCTAGTTACCCTTGGTGTAGAGGAAAGCAAACAGCTCTCTGCCCAGCTCAGTGTTGGATATGGTCTCCTTGAGGAAGGCTTCCTGCTCAGCCAGCTGCTGAGCACTGAAGTCCTCTGTCTGTCCAGTCATCCTCTCGTAGTTGTCCAGCACAGCAAGGAGAGCAGCGTAGGTGGGTCTGGAGAACAGAGCCTCCTCATTCAGGTATCGGAAAAAGCTGCAAGCACAAAGACAAAATGACACAAAAAAAAGGGGATAAATATTTTACATCAAGATCAAGAAGAAGAGAGCGCTGTGCTAATAAGATCGTCTCCTCACGGTTTAGAGGACAGATCCTTCTTGGAGCTCGTCTGAGAGTCGGGCACCAGAGCCTGAGGCTCAATGATCAACTCTGAGGCTGAGGCCTTGTTTGAATCCAGAGCATAGAGCGTCTCAGAGAGAGCCTTGATCTCAGCATCAGTGATCGCAATACCTCCATCTCCACCTCCTCCGTCACCTGCAGAACATCACAAACACACACAGATAATGACTTCGTCATGTTAGTGTTAATTCTGCCTTTTTATTAGATAAAAGAGACGTGGATGACATGCCCCATCATGCTAGTGTTGTTAACCTGGAACAGTGATTTCTGCATTTCTATAGCACAGTGTGGTGGACAGTTATTAATTATTATTCAACTTACTTCCGTTCTATGCTACTTTACTTCTACTCTAATAATACTGTACTTACATTTATTCTATAGGTATAAGTTAAAGCTTTAACAATGGGATTTACATTGGAGTGTTGGACCCAAAGTCCAATGAGCATCAATATGTGATGGGATATTACATCCCAGATTTTAATCAAGCGGCCCATTTTATTTGCTCATAGGTTCAAGTTACTTTTCAAATTAAGATTTAACATGAACTGCAAACAGACCGTAATCAGTAGATACATTTGATGGGGAATATTGTTTGAAGATAGATTCTTATACATGTATTATTAAACATCCCTACAGTATATACAATAGTTTGTGTTAGTAATACCTAAGTACTTCTACTTGAGTCATTTAGTTGAAAGTAAGACTAGTAATAGAATATATTTATACAACATTATTGCTACTTTTATCTAAGTAAACGGTCATAGTACTTCCTCCGCCACTGGGTAGTATTACTGTAGTAGAAGAAGGGAGCAGGTTAAGTTAAGATAAGCGTTTTATAGCACACCAGCGACACCTGCTGGTCAAAAACTGAAAGAAGATTTGATAAAGAGAGGTGGGTGACTCAAGCCAACACTGATGGAGGAAGTAATCAGATCCTTTAATTAAGTAAAAGTACCAATACCACAATGTAAAAATACTCCATTACGAGTAAAAGTTCTTCATTTAAAACTCTACTCAAGTAATTATTATCAACAGAATGTACCTAAAGAGATACCAAACTGATCCGTGAGTATTATTTTGCTGTATAGCTGGTAGAAGTGGGGCTAATTTGAAGTACTTCATGTACAGTTAGGTAATAGTCCAGTGGTTCCCAACCTAGGGGTCAGGCCCCTACAAAGGCTCACAAGATAAATCTGAGGGGTCCTGAGATGATTAATTGGAGAAAAGAAAGTTCTGATACATGATTTGTATTTATTTTTGGACTTTTCTGTAATCTTTGCTTTTTTGTGAAATATTAGATAATTTGACCTCTTTGATTCTCAAGCAGTTATTCAAATGAAACTTTCTGAGTTTTAAAGGCTAATCTCTTTTTGGTGGAACTGCTGACAACTCAGATGTCTGATTGAGAAACTGATCTTCCGTGCAGTAGCATTGGGCCGATTAGATAAAGTGTCCACCCTGGGAAAGTGACCAGGTGTCATAAGTGGAGGAGCTGCTCAGGGAACACAAACAGCTAGAAACTAGCCATCAGTTGTGATGTACTGTGTGGCACATGAGACGAGAACAGCTACAGGCAACACGTGGTTGGTCTTACTGTTACAGAGGTCTGCGTAGTCGCTGCAGCAGTTTTTGTGCTGGGCACACTTGGAGTTGCAGTGGCACTTGTTCTGGCTGTTGTATTTCTCACCACATCTGCCTTTACAAGATGTGGCTCCAGCTAGAAGGTAAAGAAACAGACTCGTGATATAGTTCTTCGGAAGTCTGCGATGTGTTATGGATTATTTATGAATTCACTCACCTTTACATAGTTCAGCATAGTCAGAACAACAGTCTCTGTAGCGCTCACAGGACGAGTTACACTGACAGGACATATTATTGTCTGTTCCATAGCCACACCGACCCTGACATGAGTCTGAGAATCAACAGGACAGATTGGTTTCTTAATGACAGTCCTACTTGTAAATGTATTACATGGTTATACATAAACCTATAATAAAAGGTTATCGTGTTAATGGAGCATAAAAAGATCTCTTACAGCTGTATCCCTGGTGGAACAGGGTTACCCAAAGTGCCAGGACAGCAATGACCTTCATCTTGGCTCAGCTGCAACCTGAAAACAAGGTGAGCTGACTGTTATCACGGTCCTCCTTTTATAGCAAGTTTCACGTGACCAATCCAAACGTAACACTCGCACTAAACCAGCCCATAAGCCAGGAGGTCAATCACTTCCCCATGATCGTGTGTACTGGATCAAATGTGTTGTCAGGTGTGATATTTCAATTTTTTAAAAAGCTATTGTTCACAATGGTAATGACCATTTGTAAAGGATTAGTGATTGATATGTTGTAGAACAGAACCTCTTGAAAACATTTTTTTTTTTTTTTTTAAATGTAAATAAACTTTAGGTCTGCTGTATCTCATCTCTGTGAAACTCCACACCTGCTTAGCACAGAGGCGGTGCTGTCAATACATCAAGGTTTTATGTGAGCTGAGTGTGAGTGAGTGACGGTTGTCTTAGATTTTAAACTGTTTTTTATTATGATTCCTGTTACATTGAAACTGTTAAGCTAAATGTTTCTTTTAGCCTATTGCATTGCATGTTGTCTAATACAAAATTAAATTTACATTTAAAAAATACGTTTACACATGAGTATCCTTTCTTATTTCTCCCGCCAGAGTGACCAGATGCTGTATTTCACAGGATTTTTGCAAGCTCAGAAAAACTCAACATAGCTCAGTGCCCCTGGTCATGTCGATGTCAATTCCTCACACGGCAAATACCAAACATCAACGATGCATATAGGCTCTTATAGTAATGCATAGAGTATACAAGGAAATGTATAGGCCTATTATATTCTGAGGCTTTCAGGTGCTGTCAAATAGACAATGTCAAAGCACTTGACAATTGATTTTCTGTTTTTAAACAATAAGAGAGCAAACAGTAGTATAACAACAGTAATGCAGTTTCTCTTGGGAAGAGCTGCCTTGCTGTCAGTGCAGTTTAACTCACTATTGTCTCCGATAACAATGGATGAAACTGAAATTTAATTTCCCCCAAACAGTTTACAGATTAGGTTAGTGAGTCAGAAACAATGGAAAAAGGGGGACACCATCCGTGTCATTTTGAATATACTTCAGGTTTATCAATATTACTGTTGTAAGATAAAGTTAATTTGAAAGAGATTATATAATACACTAAAAATATTAAGATCTCAAAGGTTATTGCTTGCAGATGTCTCCTGTAATACTGTTGTATTCTTAACAAATAAGAACAAATATAAAAGCTAAAGCTAAAATTCCAAGCTAGTTTATGCAGTTAAACATCCGATTCCTTTAGACAGATGGTTGGAATGCCGGGGCTTCATTTGTGTCTGTGTGAACAAACCAAGTAAGTAAAAAAAAGAACAAATAGCTAAAAACATTAACAGTCTAACGTGGGCATGGCAGATTGATAAGCAGGCTAAAACACACTCTTACTGGAAAAACAAATTAATTAATGACAAATGACAGAAATCAAGTAATTTATCCTGAACCTTGACTTTTTTCAGTTCCAACTCCAAACCAAATTGCATGAATGAACCAAACTGACAATATAGTTGTTGGGAATAACATAGCCTCAAAAAGGGGGCACCAATATGTTGGGAATAACATAGCCTGACATGGGTTATCAGCAATATGTTGGGAACGTAAAGGAGCGTGTTTGGGTTATCAGCATCTAAGAAACTAAATTCTTGACATCAATAGAATTATTAATGTAAGTAACAATTATTAATGATTATTAATAATAACAGGGCACCACCCTGCGAACAGGGACCAATAACCAAACGATAAAACTAAGTCTCATAATTAGTGTTCACTCACAATGTCAGTAGTCTGAGTACTATTACACATTCAGAGTGAAAGTGAAGGTTTAAGTTCGAGCACAGACCCACATATACAGCTATCATCACAATACACATGCACAAAGTAATCACAGACAGCTGCTCTTTAAAATATAACAGTTTATTACGTTCTAATACTAATGATCTAGTCAACTGATATCTAAACTAACAACTATACATTCATGAGCACGCTATCTAAAATCAACAGACGATTGAAAAGAGGAGGGGAGTGTGTGTGTGTGTGCGTAAGGAGGAGGAGCGAGGGAACAGCTCAGCGACGTATGACGTAGTTGGGACGTGGTGACGTCTCTCATGCGCGGACTCAAAATGGCGGATAGCCAACAGGAGACCCGGTGTCTAGTGCCGGTGTGCGAGTTTAACTGGTTTTGAATTAACTGGTTTATATGGGAGTGCCTGAGGCAGATGTGTGGTACGAGTGGCATTTCAGGACCCACGTAGAATAAACAGGAAATAAATATTCCGATCGTTTCGCCTCTGTCTTTCACGTAGTTTCTACGGTTTCTTTTGATAGAATATAAACGGAACACTTTGCTGGAAAATGTACTGCTCGTTCGCGAGGCTGTGGTTGAGATTCCGAGGACGCATAATGAGGACCAGAGTGAATGACAAAGTTGGTGGTAGGTGTCGATGCCTGTTCAAAATACTTACGTCAATAAATCCTTTAAGAAACGCTCTGTTGTCCGTCTTATATTTGTATCATATATCGTTATTAATGATATGATTTCGTAATGAAGATGGATAATTGGTCGTGGTAATGCTGTCCAAATCCTAAATTAATACTCCAAGCCTCTCCATCGTAATGTTTCAACAGACACCCTAACCCCTGCGTGTAGTTATTAAACCCTCTAGTAACAAAACGAGAGTCACCAGTCATGTCTAATCTGGATGAATGTGTGCTGCACAGTGTAGAATATCGTTAACATAAGATGCATGTCCGTAGTCTTTAATATAAAACATAAGCGATGTGAGAGCCTACAGAAATTGAATCACAAGTTAATCTGGGTGGATCACAGCTTCCCACAGTTGACAGTCATCTGTACGCGGTGTTTGAGCTCATGTTTAACTCACAGGCTGTATGGATGCACAGACAGGTATATCGGTCTCAAATCGACTTGACATGAGATTAATAACGATATATGATACAAATATAAGACGGACAACAGAGCGTTTCTTAAAGGATTTATTGACGTAAGTATTTTGAACAGGCATCGACACCTACCACCAACTTTGTCATTCACTCTGGTCCTCATTATGCGTCCTCGGAATCTCAACCACAGCCTCGCGAACGAGTAGTACATTTTCCAGCAAAGTGTTGCGTTTATATTCTATCAAAAGAAACCGTAGAAACTACGTGAAAGACAGAGGCGAAACGATCGGAATATTTATTTCCTGTTTATTCTACGTGGGTCCTGAAATGCCACTCCTACCACACATCTGCCTCAGGAACTCCCATATAAACCAGTTAATTCAAAACCAATTAAACTCGCACACCTGTGGCCGTTTAGCACGTAGCTACATTAGCTCAAAGCTATATATGTGTATATGTGTGTGTTAGTAAAAGAGAAGGGAAAGGAACAAAACAAAATGAAATAAAACAAAAGATTAAGATCCTCTGCGCCGCGCGGGAGTACGGAAGATTGCTCTCTCAGCCAGGGGAGCAAGAACCGCGACTCTTTGTCTCAGCCGGCGGTTTTGACCTCCTGAACTGATGAGAAGCAACTTCGACCTCACTGCGGCTGTCTCGACACGAATCACGGTAGCATAGAATACACGGTAACTTCTACACGACACTAGCAATTTCAGGGATCGCCAGTGTTGGTGATCATAAAGCATATACCACGTTATACAAATGAACAGTACTTTAAGCACACAAACAAGATAAAATAAACACAAATGAACTCTCTCTAACTCTGCCCAGACTCTATTTTGCCTTACGGTACGATGCGATCGTGTTGATTGAGGGGGGGGGGGGGGGGTTCTTCTGAGGGGTTCTTCTGAGCTTCGATGGGCCCAGGCAGCGCGGCTGCGGGCCGCGGCAGGTGTTCTCTCGGTAGGAGAGAATCGCTGTCGTCTGGATCAGGGATTTTCGCGTCCTTATGGCCGGAGCAGACGAGGCGCTTGGTGGAGAGTGGAAGTTCTCTCTCTCTTTCTGAAGAAGTCTTGCTTCTTCACTTCTGCAGGAATAAACGGGTTCGCTTCGTGGATACGAACGAAGATAAAATAGACAGTTTGGTGAATTTGGCCAGCGAATATAAACTGTTAGACCTAGGATTTGGTTGAAAAGGGAAACAACGTTGGTGTGCTCCCTAGCTCGACGGAGGTCGAAGGGAAAAAGCATTGAGGTGGGGGTTGCAGGTAGTTTTGTAGAACAGTGGCTGAACCACAGGGGTCCTGAGGTGTCTTGGCTCTCAGCCAATTAGATTGCAGCGCTGCTTTCAGGTACCTTCAGGAACGCATAGTTTTTGGGGGGAGGAAACTCACACCCCAATGTGAATTTCTTCAGAGCTGGGGGTTTGGTGCTCAAACTACAATCAGGATGAAACCTTTGCTTGCAAAAGGGAAGGCCTGACTCTCTTTGTTCCACAGCACATATAGTCAGATCCCAACATAGTTTAAATGTTGCAGCTGGCGGGCTACAAGCCTGATCTGAGTCATTGGCAGAGTCACAGTTCTGACATTACTAAACTGCTTTGTGCATGAGTACAAGCCTCATGTGCCCATTTGTTGCATCGGATAGGCAAGTAGAAGTTTAGTTTAGTTTTTTAGAATACCCATTAGCTACGACACTGCAGTAGAGCCACAAAAAAGACAATGCAACCATACAATTTACATTATAACCATATTATTACAGAATAAACAGAAAGATCAATTAAGATAATTAAGTATTAAATGTAGCCTAATTAGTTACATACGACTACTGAGAATATCAACATGTAGCGTGCCATTGCAGTACTGTGAGGTTCAGGATCAGGCAGGATGTAAAACGTAACTGTAGGCTTCTCCCAAACTGTGGAGGGCGCTGCGCAGTAATACGAGACTCTACGAAGATTAATTTTGTCCGTACTCGGCTTCCGTACACAGCGTGGACTTCAATGACATTCTGAGCTTTTATAAGTCAGTTCACGTGAACGGGGTTTAAAGATGTCGTTTACCTTTTTATTCAGAACAATCACAAGAGACTTTGCAAAGGTGAGCACATTGAGCTTTACACGTGGTCATGTTTTTATCATTTCACCTGGAGCTCGAGCTGTCATAAGCTGGCGTGTTAGTTAGCTTCCTCACTTTCTGATTCACCAGCGCAACGTTACTGGGCCAGTTTCTGAGAGTTACCTCCTTACTAATTCGGTTTTATTTCATGCATGGTTGAACGTCATTGTGGCTGGATATCTCTGTAGAATATGTTATCTAAAAATGGCATTTGTTGATTTAAAGCTGTATATGTGACTGTCTACTAAAGGCAGAGTAGGGAGTAGGCCTAGGTCACTGAGCTTTCTGAGGTTGTACTAGTCACTGTGTGTTACACCTTCTGTCTTCCTCAGATCAGTATTTGCCAGCATGTACAGTCATTACACACAGGCTGTCGGCTTCTGGCAGCTGAGAAAGCCCTCCTGATGAAACTGAGGAAAAACACCGGCTACACTTTCATTAACTGCAAGAAAGCACTGGAGAAGTTTGACAATGACATAGCACAGGTAACCTAACCCCCCCCCCCCCCCTCTCTCAATCCCAACCTGCACTCACAACACACGTGTGCTACAACATTATATCTATATGGTGACTACTGAAACAACTAGCTGTGGGACTGTGTTGTTGATGTCATTTGCTATCCTTCAGGCAGAGACCTGGCTGAATGAGCAGGCCCAGAAGGAGGGCTGGAGCAAAGCGAACAAGCTGCAGGGTCGCAAAGCCAAAGAGGGACTGGTTGGCCTGTTTATACAAGATACAGCTGCAGTTATGGTGGAGGTACGGCCAGCGATACAGCGGTTAATTACCAGCGCAATCACTGAAGTTGATCCTTTTTCTTGTTTTGTTGGACATGGCATTCAGCAGTATCTGTTGTCTTTCTTCTTGTGTGCTTTCTGCAGGTTAACTGTGAGACAGACTTTGTTGCCCGTAATGAGAAGTTCCAACTGCTGGTTAAGGATGTGGCATTTGCCACCTTGGCTCACCACCGTAAGAAAACCCAAAGCAAGACAGGATATGTTAAGGTAAACAACCCACATTGAGAACGGATATACTGATGTGGCTTTATATTAATATAATGTTCCTATATAATAGGCTTTATTAATAAAATACATTGTAGGAAGACAGAGGTGTAAATAATGACGGTAATGATGGCTGAATGCTGTTTCAGTTTCAGGGTCCGGGTCTTGTGCATGCTGGCTCACACTGCCGTGGCTTAGAATAAAGCCAGTGTTAATATAGTACTGTGGAAAGGACCTATTGATTGATCATTTATACAATTGCAGAGTTAACTACTAATCTGTGTTAATGAAGCTGCAGCAATTATCATTTTGTCCTATTATGTGCATACAGTGGTAATAAAACTTCATTACCTGCAACTTCACTCTTAACAGTGCTTAATGTATACAAGTCTTCAGGAGGTGGATGCTGATGAGAAGGAATGTATGACTGCATACATACCACTGAATACAACACTCAGGATGTCAGGACGCACCAGCTTCGTGTCCTTTGCTCTGCTTTGATTCTGCTCACATACTACATTTGTTTCTAGAGTGTCCTGGCAGGTGATGAGTTAAACAAACTCGGTGTGGATGAAGGAGCTTCGCTTTCTGATCGGGTGGCTGTCACGATTGGTCAGTATGAAAAGTTTTTAGTTTAAAACACATGTCCCTCCTGCGCTCCTTCAACCGGCATTTTAAGATTTTCTTTTATTCTGTGTTTTTACCAGCAATGATGGCAGTGTGACACATTTCTAAATTTTAGTTGATGTTGTCTTGTACATTCGTTTCCATGCATTCAAAAGAAACAAATCTGTCGGGCTGCATTTATTCATTTATTCTTTATGAATGTGTTGCACGATTATTGTAGGGGATTTATATTCTCTTTGTATATCACAGCTATTGTTCCTGAATAAATAATAAATATGCAGCCTTCTGCTGCATGTTGTCCCTGCGACACATGATGCGATTTATTTTATGCCCTCAAATCCGCTGTCAATGGAGACGCACAGAAGGGGCCCTCAAAAGCGAGAAATCAGTTTATTGCACCAATCTTTTTTTGATAAAACATGTTTCCCCTCTTTCCTCTCAGGTCGCCTCGGTGAGAACATGTCAGTGAGGCGGGCGGTGACAGTGGAGGTCCCAGCTGAGTGGCACATTGGCTCGTACGTACACGGTGGTGTGCGCGGCCAGACTGAGGTGGCCATGGGTCGGTACGGCGCCCTGGTCGTATTTCAGGCCGGAGAGAAGGGAGAATGGGAAGTTCTAGGACGTAAGCTGGGACAGCATATCGTGGGAGAGGCCCCTGTGTCCCTGGGTGACATGGATGACCTGCCTTGTGGTGAAAGTGAGACACGTCTGCTGCCTCAGACCTTCTTGGGAGACCCCAGCAGGACTGTTGCACAGTTCCTCAGAGGTCAACAGGCTCGAGTGCTGGACTTTATCCGATTTCAGTGTGGCGAGACAGCCAGTGAAGAAGCTAAATGAAGGGAGGGTAATCATTCATCCAAAAGAATTTGTGTTGTGTCTTTATTTAATATTAAGATGAAATTCAACTACCCATTTATTGTTGAACATTCAGACAGTCACAAAGTGTTATTGTACATGTGAGAGCAGAATATGTAGGTCTACCAGCACTGGTTCCTGATGAAATTACCAATCCAGCAATAAAATGTTTTTATCCTGGAAATGTTAGTCAATATTAATTTGTTTATGCTACTCAGTATTTTTAAATATCAGGTCCTGGTTCTGGTTCTCACGTGCAACCTGGTGGCGTTGATGACAAGCATTAAGAACAACTATAAAGAAATGGCGCATCTTATTGCTGATGGTCATTTGTGGTCTCCCGTTATGTAGGTCATACAGAAACAAAAGTATTAAATTGAGACTTTCATAGTTAAAGGTTCCTCACAGTAACTTTGATTAGTGTGTCATATGAACAGTAAGGTCAACATTAAGTTTAGTCATGACACCGCATCAAAATTTGTATCTCTGCAATTTTATAAAGCAATTTTTTTCCCATAATAAGGGCATTGTAACTGAATACAACCATATAACATACCATATATATGTATGCATGTGTATGCATGTGTATATATATGTATATGTATATATATATGTATACGTATATACATGTATATGTATACGTATATACATGTATATATGTATACGTATATACATGTATATATGTATATGTATATGTATATATATGCAGTTACACATATACCATATTTATTTATATATATACTGTATATATATGTGTAACTGCATCCCTGAAATCCAGGCATATGATTGGCTGTTGTGCAGTGACGTCATCAGATGCGCTGATGATCGACAGCTAGCTGGTGTCCTCCTCATTAGCATAGAGAAGATACGAGACCCTCGCCCGTCTCTCATCCTACGACCTCAAACCGACATGGTGAGTAGATGCATTACTCTGAGCTGATTTATAAACAATAGTTGCTGTTGAAAGATGTGTACTCCAGGACAACGTCGTTCTTTATTCATTGATTCATATGATTAACGTTAAGTCAACGTTTAGCTAGCTGCGTATCTCTCCTGGCCTGCTTCACTCATTCTAGCGTTAAGCCTTTAGCCACAATCCGTTTCTTTACTGTACGGTAGCATTAATGGAGGATTAACTTGAAGCATTTGCACATTACACTAACGCCGGTCTGTTGTTCCCTTTGTGCCGCTTTAACCCCCGCCTCAAGCAGTCTGACTTCACAGAGGACCAGATCATGGGTGAGTCAACGTTAACGTCTGATGAGCAAAAGGGATTTTATCCTTTTAATGGCTCCGGTTATACAGCCAAACATATCATCGCCTTCTGATTTTAAATGACGGTATAGCTTCATGAATTCGTCACTCTGACCCTGTAGCTCGACTGTTGTCTCTGCAAACCGCTGCACTCCTTCAGGTAACTGTGACAGACTGAGCTCAACACACACTCACTTTATAACTGTGTGAGGCTCAATGCCTGTCACGACTACCTAACAAATACTACTTGAATTCATCACGAGTAGTGCCACAGAATGCTGTATACTAACCTGCAACAACATGTGATCTAATCAAGCGTCTTTGTGTTTTTGCATGCTGACGCTGACGGTCATGATGCTGACAGGTTGTGTTTTAGCAGAGCAATGTGTGGATCAGGGGTTTGGCCTAGACGTCATTTTTCTGGTGTACTTAAAGGCAAATGTCACTAAAGCTATTCTCTTGTGGCACTCACTAAAGCACTTTGTCAGAACAAATAGTACACATTGATGTAGGACCTTAGCTACTGTGTGGTGTTGTTTAACAGGACCGAAGTCTTGCAAACAGTTTGTGCTTTTAAAGATTGTATTTGCTCCAACAACAACCACCAACTAACAGTATGTTTCTGAGCTGATACCAAGTAATACCCTAAACCAGAAAACCGAATATTAAAAGCTGCTAACATGTAATATCAGGTAGCGGAGAGCTATTACGTGTTATTTGTGAGGTGAATGCGTAATCAATAAGCCACAGTAATTAAGATAAGTGTTTGCGAAAATGCGCCTACACAGCAGTGTCGGGATTGTGCAACTGAGAAAATGCAGAGACTTTCTGTATCTAATGTCAAAACAACTTGTGTTATCAGCTGTTCTTCTACACAAAACAACTTCATTCAATAAAGGTCCACACATACGGTTGTATCTGTAGCGTTATAAGCACGGTGTTATGCATATCTATGTTTGCGTGTGTCTCTGACGTTGGAGTTTATTTATATACTGCACAGCTGAATGAGTTCTACCTCTCTGTCTCCATATCAGAGTTCAAGGAGGCCTTCCTTTTGTTTGACCGGACGGGTGAGGGGAAGATCACCTACAGCCAGTGTGGGGATGTTATGCGGGCCCTTGGACAGAACCCTGTCAACGCTGAGGTGCTCAAGGTCCTGGGAAACCCCAAGTTAGAAGGCAAGCCTCTGATTCACCAGCTGCAGCTATACCAGACCGACTCAACCTACTTTATCTTTGCTCTGGTTAACAGATAGGTTGTGTGTACAATTCTAACCCCTCATTACAACACCAGAGCATCAGTATGTGCTGAAACGCCTTTTCTGACTTGTTCGGGGCACAGACATGAGCATACAGTACACAGCATTTATTTTAGTAATGATGATTTAGTACATTAATAAATGAGCACTCAGCGGAAAGCTCTGGTATTGTGAAAACTGCATTTTGATCCTTTTTCTAACTGTGTCGGGGGTGTTTAGAATGTAAACTATTTGTTGCTGATTGCCTTTCAGAGATGAACTATAAGATGTTGGATTTTGAACAGTTCCTGCCCATGCTTCAGGCCATTGCTAAGAGCAAAGACCAGGGTTCCTTTGAGGATATCGTAGAAGGTCTGCGGGTCTTTGACAAGGAGGGAAACGGCACAGTGATGGGAGCAGAGCTGCGTCATGTTCTCACTACACTAGGCAAGTCAACAAAAACCTGCAAAACACAAAGAATTGCCAGTAAACCTGATCTAGTTCAGCTGATGTATGTGTTGTCATGCAAAGTAAAATCCCTTCAGGCACTTTTCTGTACCAAGAACAATGTAAGCGTGCTGTCTCCTCTGTGAGAGAGTCCTTTATATGGTTATGGTTTTAATTCTTCTTTGTTTGTGCCAGGTGAAAAAATGACAGAGGAGGAGGTGGAAACTCTTTTAGCGGGACACGAAGACGCCAATGGCTGCATTAACTATGAAGGTAAGACTGCACAGTATGTGGACAGATGCACTCAGATGGCTCTATTGGTACGTTCCAATACCCGTACTACCATACAATTTAGAATGCCAGAAAAAGATTCGGTATGTCCCGATACATAGTGAGTCTATTGAAATGTAATAACAAGACCTTAAAAACCGCTGCACAGCATTTTGGGAATTGTATAAAGGAGCGAACTTGTCTGCTTCGAGCAAGCTGAGTAAGTAGGAAATGTGGCACAACTACGTGGCCGTCGTAGGAGCACCACAAGTCCTCAATAATAACAAAAAAGAGGGGGAAGAAAGTAAGTTTTAGGAATCACAGAGAACACACACAAAAAAACACATTTGAACAATTAGGGAATAAAGGAATCAAAGAAATGATGTGTCATCTGATTCATCTAAAATTTGACTTCTAAAAAGAAGTTTGTAGTCAGAGAGTCAGATGGCAGGTAACAATTCATAGGTGTAATAGCTAACTACAAGGGGTGAAGTTCATTTCAAGCAAAATGCAGTATATATAACAAGACCAACAGTTGTCACAAATACAACACCAAATGACAGAATACTAGTGCTGAAGAAAGAGAAATGCTTCACTCCAAGCACTGATGTTGTCACATAACAAACACGAGACACCAGGCCTAGACAAGGTGACAACAGAGTAAATGCATTTTACTGGGATCCAAATACCAGTAATGCTAAGTAAACCTATATATTTAAGTTCAATACGTAATGCAATCACAGGGACTTTGGAAGAGAAGGTAATGGTCGTACAAACATATCTCTGTATTATTTATAATAAGTGGTGGAACGTCAATCACTCCAAGGGGGATTGTTTAACCTCTCTTTAATAAAGTAGAAAAAACAGCCTTGATGTACAATAACAACTCGTGAAGAGAGACAGTTTGTACACGTCGTAACATGCAGTGCAGCGTTGCAGTTTTAGTAACTTTCTTGAACCCAAAAGATGTTTGGTTTAGTTCCAACAGCTGCGTAATGCAGCTAGAGTCATTCACCCGCGTTGTGCTAACAGTTAAAGCCAAACGGCATAAAAGAAGAGATAATACCAGAACAGTAAATGGCTTTGCTAATTCTTCCAAAAGTTAAGCCTCTGCAGTTAGAACAAATGTTTAAAAACTCATTATAGCTCATTACGTGGCCTGTGCATTGATGGTTTTCTGATCTTTAGTTTCATATTTGATGCTGATGTGTCTCTCTTTGTTTCTCTTGTGACAGAACTCGTCCGGATGGTGATGAGCGGTTGAGGATTTCAGAAATGCACTTCCAGCTTTAATTTTATTCCTGAATATTTTTATATTGTTTGTCTCGTCTTGCCCTTCCATCCACGTCATCCTACCTCCAACAAGTCTCCTTTCTCTTCTTTTTTTTTTGACATCTTCAATTTATTTCGAAAGTGCCTATTCAGTCTAATGTGAAGAAACCCTTTCATCTCATTTCTCCTAACATTATTCAGCCTCGCAGGTACTCTCTGTAGGAAGGTTCCCTTGATGATTTCACCTATTACATCTTTATTAACCCATCAGTCTTGTTGTCTACAGCTTTTGTTGTTTTTGTTTTTGGTTTGATAATGTGACATGTTTCATCTAACAGTATTGAATAAAAATCCTAGTTTCCAAAGTGTCTTTCAGCCTCCGTGTCTTCAAATGTGTCTTTAAAGGGCAAAGATAATGCACATCTGCAGTCGCATTACAAAGCATATTTCATTTCAATGGCTCATATACAGTATAATATCTCTGATGAACCATCTCTTGGGATGGTTCTAATTGTTAATGACATACTTTTTTATGACACACTATGATATGACTTTATTCGTGACATTTGAAAATTGCATCTTCATAGAAAACTTAAACAAACGGCGCAGACTTTACACATACAAGATGTATTTAAAATGCTAAATTATTTAGAATATAAATAATAACACAAACCACTCCACACAATGACTTCCTCTTCACATCTTTATTTTTTCCCCAACATTTTGTAATTAAAACCTGAACCCCTTTTGTTATGCATTTTGTTGTTAAATACAAACTGCCAGAGTAACTGTCAGTCAGAATGTGATGATTTACTGAGGAAAGATTGATTCTACGGTATAATAATCAATGCAACTGCTGCTACCTTCAGCATCGTGAAAAACATACAGAAACTGAACATACACTTATTTCATATCACAAAATCCACACAATGTAGTAATAACACAGATAAAAGAAGTCCATTTATGCTCACAACTATGGTGAGGTCTGCAATACTGGCTTGACGGACATTAACTGTAAAGTTTCACCTTCCGACTGGATTATAATTCATGACACTGACGTGACGTGTCGTGTGCAGAAGGAAGCCTGTTTTTTTGAACTCTCCAAACTCTGTGACACACGACGAATGGCACTGGAAGTAAAACTGAACGGTAATGTTGTTTACAGATCTTAATGGCATGCGTTCACATACACAAATGCTCACAGTCACATCTCAAGACGGTTCCAACAAACCTGCCTGATTCATACGCAACAGTGGAGAGGGTAAATATAAGATACAAATGTAATAATATACAGTTACAATGTTGACATATCAAAGAAAGGATATGGAAAAACAGAAAGTAAAAAATATAAAAATTGATAGGATAAAAAGTGAGGATATTGTTGCAGATATTAAGGACACAATTCTCCATCGTCAGCTGTTTAAGGTGCGAGCTCCCTTGTTTTTTGACCGGCTTCACATTTCTTCCATGTGTAACTTGAAATGCACCAGCGAAAAACAAGCCGCTAAAAAAATCTTCTTAATTTCCCAAGCAACCTCAATACAACTCACTGAATAAATGTGAGATAAACATGATTATAAAACATTTTGGTTGAGCAATTAACACAAAAGTTAAAATTATAATAAAACACTCATGCTGTCACTGGTATACGTATCGTTCCCAGACTTTCAATCATTCCTTTTGAACAAAACTACATTCCTCACAAACTCCTGGATGCTTTAGTTCATCCAGATGTGAAAAACATGAATTAAAACATGTTATTCCTTAAGTGCTGTCGAAAGGAGGGACATTATTAAGATATATTTAAAGAGAGGTCTTCTCAGGATGATAATTTCATGCTGTCTGAACTTTCAAATGTTATCATTACAGGGTGTGTTTGTAACAAAGAATCCAGTTTACAGTACAATGTCTCAAACTGCATCCACACCAACTGTATTTCTAACTGTCTTCTGGTTTGTTTTCATTCATTGCAGACATTTCTCTGGAGAGAGACGTTGGTTTTAGACATGTGACCTCCAGGCCAGACCCTGTAGAGTGACTGCTTGTCCATGTAAAACAAATACAAATAGAGTGGAAAAAGTAACATTTCCAATCAAGTTTTCAAAACCTTCAGCATGAAAAAGTATTTAAGACAACAAAAGGATGATATAAGTGCTAAAGTTAAATTTCATCGATGCTTCGAGTCTTTCAATTAGACCTTGGGAAACATTTTAAAAGTGCATTTTTGTCTTACATATATTGTAATTAGTACCTACAGTACAAGGGGGGGGGGGGACTCTGGAGAGATTGTAAAGCACCAACTTCACAAGCTGTGTCAAACTGTTGCAGGAAATAAATGCAACAATTGCCAAAACACTGAAAACGCGAGATGAGTCTTTTCTCTTCTTTCCTTGACTGGCAGCATGTCGGTGAGACCCTCGTAGTTCACTCTGGTGTTAAGCTTCAAATTATGTTGCTGTCCAATCGACCGCACAGGACCAACAGCTTCTGTTTGAAACTTCATTTTCTTCATAGGCAGATTCAATTTAAAAAGGACATCATGTTCAACAGAGAGTTGAAGTAGAGCTGGTTTGATTTATACGTTATCATGTTTTCTTTCTTGCATCAGTTGTCCTGTTGGAAAAAAAAAAATAAACCAAACAAATAAAAGAGCTGAACATGTAAAATGTGTTCTTCTTTCGGTTTATGATTTCTTCATTTCAGATGATACCGGCAAGTGGTCAAAGTCATTCGGATTCTCAGGCTGAGTGTGATTCTCTCACTGTGGAGTTGGGACTGGAGCTGAGGGGTGGAGTGTTTCCCCAGGAAGAGGGGGGGTGGGCTCTGTAACGGGTAAAACAGGTGAGGAGGCGAAAAATGTAATGACTTTTTGACACATTTTCAAAAAACGTTCTCCTTGTTTTGAGTACTCAAGTGAAGTTAACAGGACAAATAATTCACAGCTGATAATAGTGTATGAGTTGAGAATTTAGTATAATATATATTGACATCCATCCAAAATGTATTTATTTAAATACATGGTAATGGATATAGAGATCTAAGTTAAACAATAGGGATGAGAGAGCAGACAAATATACTAAAAATAATGGATGTATCATGTATTTAAGAACTTGTGATCAAAATATTGCTCAAACTTTGGACTCACCATGGAGTACAGGAGTAGTGCTGGAGCTGGAGCTTGAGTGGGGAGCTGGGGTTGCACCTGGGGGGCAGGGGGGCGAGGTGTGAGCACCCTGAGGGGGTTGGGACTCAGGGGCCGGGGCAGAAGCTGAGGCCGGAGGCGCGGGACTGGGGGCCGGCTGCGGCGCTGGTGTGTTGGGAGCCTGCTGACTTGCGGTCGGGGGTGCTGGGGCTGGTGCTGGGGCGGCCTGGTTGGCATTAGGGCCCGCGGCCTGGCTGTGCTGCTGGTGCTGAATCTGCTGGAAGTGCTGCTGGCGGGCCCTCATCTCGGCATACTTCAACTGTTCCATGTGGAAGGACTGACGGTCAGCCAGCAGCTGCTGACGCTGGTACTCCAACTACAAACACAAAAAGTAAAAAGGTTACAGGTATTGTAGTGTAATTAGTCTCTATACTACATATCCCAGAATCCTTAACTTACGGCCTCCCTCTCTCTGTCCATTATGGTTTCCAGTTCTTCAAAGTGTCGCAGTTTAATCTCCAGCTTCTTCATTTGGGTCTCCACCAGCAGAGCCACGAGAGATTTAATCTTCCTCTCTTCAACTGCAGCCAGGTGCTACGAAGAACGTGAAGGAGAAACTTAGATTCAACAAAATGTGAAAGTTAGAAAAACTAAAATCACAGCTTCATAGTTGTACGCCTCCGCCACGCAGTTTACATCCGTCTGTCAAAAATAACATCACTTCAACATTTTATCCAATTAGAAATTTGTTGAAATTGTCATGATGCCATGGCTGTTGCAGACGCGGAGGCATAGGAAGGTGATGAAGGATACAGTAATATTAAACTTTACCTTGGCTTTGACAGCAGCAGCAGCGAGTGCAGACGCAGCAGCGGTGGCAAGGTTCCCCTCTCCAACGTCGCGCTCCACCTTCGCCTTCCTCTCTCCTTCACTCTCTGCTTCTCTTTGTCGTTCCTCTGTGCCCTCTTTTCCGTCCTTCGCCTTCTCCCCATCACCTTTGAGAAGAAAAAAAAAAAGCCTCTGTTTTTTTTAACCTTTGTCAAGAACACTCTATTTCCTCTTTCTGACTGAGATGCATTTCCATACCAATCTCCGACTCTGTTTTGTCCGTCTCCCTCTCTCCTTCTGCTTCTCTTCCTCTTTCTTCTTCCTTCTTCCCATTCTCTGCCTGCTTCTCCTCTTCCTCAGTCGCTCCATCTTTGCTGTCCTGTATGGGAAAGCAAACAAGACACAATGAGCTTCGCAGCAGTTCATCAGCAGAACTCACAAAACAGAAATATCACGTTATATCGAACACGTATCATACCTTGGACTCCCTCTTCTCTTCACCTGGTTGGCTGTCGCTCTTACTTTCATCACTGCTTTCATCTAGAGAGACGACAAGTCACTCTATGGAAACTAAATAAATATGGGCAGGTGCTAAGTATAAAATAATGAGGTTTAAAATAATTTAATATACTACAAATAGCTTTTTATCTTTATTTATAATTGATTTAGGGTACCAAGTAGAGCGCACAGTGCACTGTGGCCATTGAGTTAATCTAGAGGAACGAGCAACAAGATTTTCTTTGATTGGCTACAGCCCATGTGTGTGTGTGTCCATCCTACCAGGTCTGTCTCCCTCCTCCAGGCCAGTGCCTGCGATGCCACTACCCTCCAAGCCGTACAGTGGGTCCTGTCGGCCACTGACCCTCGCTGCCTCCTCCACCCGCCGCACATGAGCCTCAACAAGCGCTGCAGGAACCTCCTCCTTCATACGAGAAAACTCCGCTAAGAGGGAGAGAGACAGATCGAGGTCATCGGTTACTAACGAGTAATCAATAAGAGACCAGGGATATTTAAATTCAAAATCAAAAACATTCAGTAAATTCAATTCAAAATAAGCTCCTTCTCACCCAGAGCGGATTTGGCTGCAGCCGAGGCAACACGTGGGTCGACGACAGAGGCGAGGAAGGCCACTGTGCTCATGACAGGGTTCCCTGCCTGGCTGAAAGGTACGGGCTGGTAGGCTAGTGGTCCCAGGGACGACGTGTTTTCCTCTAAGTAAGGGTCTTCAATGGGCAGCCGCAGGAAGTGCAGGATGCACTCATCCTGCGTACGGCTGCCCACATGTTCTGAAACCTTGTTCCAGTCGTCCTTGTACATCTCCAACCCCTGAGAGAAGTGGGGACTACATTTAGCTTCGCATTTCTGCTTTCTTATTTTCACACAATTGATTTTAAGGATAG